AGTACTTGCATGGGCTGTGTGCATTCTGCCTTTGTGCAGTTAAACTGAATCCTTGTCCCACAAACATTGCCTGGCCTAAAGAACTTCTATCACACTAAAGAATCTCTGAGTTCACCAGTAATAAAATATGGAGATTCTCAACAAGATTTCTCAGCAAGGAAATACAATTAGAGCATTCACTCTAACAGTGATGACAGCTCCAGGTCCCAGGTGATGAAGGCAAAGGCAGATGAGAGGACTGGAAGGTCCAAAATAACAAGGTATTGTATCAGGCTTTTCCTCATTTTCTGTACCTTTCCAGACTTCTCAATTTCTTTTTATGTTCCTGCAGAAATGCAACTTCAGCAGAAGGGAACACCATCATTTTATAAAGCAGGTCTCTCCAGCTGAGGAGGAATTGAATTTGTGTCTTCTAGTCATGAATTCTCCAATCACTAGACTGCCAGCTCTAGCTTCTGGCACTGAATATTGAATAAAAAAAGTCCTCTTTAGTCTTTCAACTAATTCCACAGGTACCTCCTAAGTAATTTTTGGATTCTGCATTCTGAGAGGGTGGGCATATTCCCACTTAATCCTGATTTGGGTGCCTATCCTACAGATAAGGGGTAGCCTTCATGCACCACCCTGATGGTTAGAGCAAGTCAATTTGTCTGAGGCACCTCTTTGTCTCCATGTGCTGCACAGGGAGCCTAGGTGGTTAGTTTGAAGTTTTGGATACCAGTCTGAGGCCAGGCACTTAAGATACAGCTGTTGCAGCACACAACACCTTTATTATGTCAAGCATCTATTTCCCTTTTTAGGCACTTAAACAGGATCAGTGCACGTTCAGAAACACTGAAACAATGAATATTTAAAAGAGATGACAAAACATGACTTTGGGTACTAAGAGCACCCTATTGCAGTGTGGCTGCTGTGCTTCTTTTGCTTTTCAACTTTTTCTGATTAAAACTAGATTTTACTCCCTTCTAGCAATTAAAGTTCATGCAATTAGGAGAGCCAAATTCACATACCTAGAACTGTCTAAAAGCCAAGAGAGAAACAATAAAATTATATTCAATAACATTAAAGGAAAACAAAATAAACTTCAAACCTCTCGGGAACTTCACACACCCTCTGTGGTTTTTTTCCATAACTGCCTCCCCAAGCTCTCCCAGAAAGTGATTTGTATCATTGTGAGGAATTTTCAACACAGGCTGAAATAATAGCTAAAAATGAGCTGAGTTCCACATCCCACAGTGTTATAAGTTCCAAAGAGCTTGAAGCCTGAAGGATGTCAAAAATCAGACAGATGGTACGGATTCGTGACTTAGAAATTCATTTTCAAAACAGATGTTTTACTAGACAACTCCCAAGTCTTATATTAAAAAGTACCCACCAGAGTTCAAAGAACGCTGGGCCAGATCCCCTCAGGTCTCCCTCTGATGACTCAGAAATATCATGATTAGACAAATGGGAACATAACGGAGCCCCATCAGAACACAACGTAACATAACCATGTAAGGTTGTTTTTCTTTTGCACGAATCAGGCTATTATTTGCTCAATCAGCAAGTCTGAATCCAAAAGTCAGCTTTACTAGAGGGTTCATATTTACAGCCAGGCTTTGAAGTTAATCCAAAAAAGTCTGTGATTCTTCTTGGCCTTTGCACAATGTCTGCCTCTATCTTTGCTGGCTGGTTGGGAAATTTGGGCTGCTTTATTTACTCAAACATGTCTAACCATTGCACGTCATTTAACTGTTATTTGTTATGGGAGTTTGGATTTTAAGGTGACAGATTACAACTGCCAAGAGACAAGGGGTCAGCTGTTGTCAGTTAAACTAAGTGGAAGAGGAAGGAGTCACTCAATACATGACAGATATTTCGTGGCAACAAAATATACAGGCTGATCCATATAAGTGTGATGAAAAACATGAATTATTTCATCCTAGCATAAATCAATCACTTTCAATAAAATCCTTCTCAGGTTTGCATTAACATATCTATAAGAAGAAAATACATCATGGCAGTGTGTTCTTGGCTTTAATGAGCACAAATAATTTCTTCTGCAGATCATCATGTCTTCATTTAGATTATAACACAGTTGAGGAATGTTGTATGTCACCATTATCCTGCTTTCTTTGGCATATGAAAATTTTGTACATTAATTGCATGTGCAAAAGAGGTTAGGATGTTGCTGTAAAGACTTTTCTTCTAAGCTTCCTTACAAAACCATGACTGTGAGGTTCAGTGCGGCCCTTGAACAATCCTTCCTGGTTCACAATCACCTCATCCTGATTATTTTGAGGATTTTAATCCTCAGTTTGAATCTGCAGATTTCAGCCTAGGTAACAACAGTTGTATTTTAAATATACTTTAGTTTACTTCTGGAATAACTTCAGGAACTACAAGTTTGCAGACTTACTAGGAGTAGATTGTGTCCTTTTTAGGAAACTAATTGTGTTCTACAGTCTTTTATGGTGATGGCTGTATAGCTGTTAATTTTAAAAGGGGCTGTGAAAATGGGAACTGTTTTGAGGCGAGTGGGAGGAAGGTAATCAGACCCTAGGATGCTATTTACTGCCTCTTTCTGAGCTTGTATGTGAAGCAGGGATCATGTTATTCCAGCAGCTATTTAGACATAAATGGGAGGATACAACAGTTCCCTTGGGACTACCTTTTCCTACTTGGGAAAAAATCCTGTTGCTTTAAGTGGAGTTTTCTGAGTCTTTACAAGACTTGCAAGTTACTACTCAAAGGAAACAGAAATGTTTACAGAGAAAAGGTAAAATCACGACCCATAAAAAGCCTTGTTTGATTCCAAGGGTATGCAAGTCCAGTGGAGTAAGCAGATGTTCCTGCAGGAGTGCTTCCCATGAAGTCTCTGCACGCATGGAGTGTACAGGATGGCTCATCCCTGTCCCTGCCCACAGGCTGGTGTAAGGTTCCACCTCTGCCTGGAGCTCACTGGGTGAAGGGAGGTGCAGGCACAGCAAGCAGGATTTATTAAAGAGCAAGAAAGAGCTAAAGGGACTGTAGCACTGGCATTGCCTGCTGTGTTTGCACACACCTCATGTCCCAAGGCCCAACTTTGACTCTATTCTCCCCTATACAGATCAGAAGGAGAGCAGAAAAGATGTTTCAAAACAGCTGGATAATGCACCTTCTGAAGATACCTTTCTGTCTTGTCACTGTCTACCATCAGGCAACCAGCTTTGGCATCTAACTTTCAGATTACTAAAATTAAGTGAAGTGAGTCCCACTGCTCCTGCTTTAAACATGCCACTGAATTTCATGCAGTTATCCTTGTTCTGAACCTAAGTCAAGCTAACAAAGGTTACATCCAAGAAAAAGATTCTGTTTTCAGTAGGAATCATTAAGAAAAGGAGATTTCATGTCTTCTGTAGCTAGTTTGATCCAAATGTTACACATCTTCTGTCAAAGCCAAAAACTCAGAGAAAACTCTCTGTTTCTCATTACAATTGTTTAGCTTTAATCTCTTAAAGTTATTTCTTGTTATATACTAAACTGGACTTGGAAAAATCTTTATGAGGCTTATTCCCACTGAAATAGCTGTAAATAGCCTAGAAAATTGGCAATTGAGGATCTGTGCACAAGGTCTCATTTATGAGTTTGTTTTTTCACAAGACCTTGTTTTTGCCCCTTATGGAGTTAATTAGATTTCACCAGCAGAATGATGAAGAGAAAGACTTGACTGGATTGGGAATATGTCAGGTTCAGTTCCCAATAAGGTTGCTAGCTAAAGGAGCTGAGCTTTATCTTTTGTTTGCTATAAAATATTACGAAGGCTCACTGTGTTATTGCTTGCACACTGCAGTGCTCAAAATTGACACACGTTGTTGTTCCAAAGATAATATCTCTGCATCTCTGCTTGTCTCTGTGTGTTAGGAACAGTGAACTAGTGCAGTTAAGTTCTTACCTGAGTTTAACAGAGACTAGCCAGTGTGCGACTGTCAGTCTCTTAGAGGAATTAGAAAAAACTGGAATAAAATTCCCATCCTATTTTCCAACAGATACATTCTTCCTATGACTGCAGAGATGCTTGCATACTGGCATTTTCTGTGCAAAATTTTGTGAGACCTTTGCAAAAGCTTGCACCAGAAGATGTCCATCCCAGTTCTCAGATGTGGAAGGACAGAAAGACATTCAAGCTGTCATGCTTTTGCATTTGAACCAGAGCATGACCTTTTTCCACACTTCTTCCATGGTCTGCACTGTCCCTTCTCTTTAGTAGCAAGACATAGATCATCACTGTGAGTGTTGTATATCATATGAGTTTGATACATACTACTCTTCCCTAGATTAACAGAGAATGAATAACAGTGAATTTTTAAACTGGACATAGTGTATGCTGTTTGGCTCCAAGAAAAAACTTCCATTGGGAAAGACGTTACGAATTCAGAGCACATCATGGAGACCTAAGAGATTATTGATTTGGGCCAGTACAGGAAAGGTGTTTAAAAATAATCTTGGAATTTCCAGGTAGGATTCAGGACATAAATTTGAGAGGGAGTGCTAGGGAAAAACAAGAAAAGCAGCATGCTTACAAGCTGGACAGGAACTGGTGAGATCTTACCTTCAAATAAAATGGTAGCAAAAAGCATTTGCATTTGGCCCATTTAATTTAATAACTTATATTTTAAAATATCTGGTCAAATAAAATATACAGGGGTCTTTGTGTATAGAAAGAGAGTTCTGTGTGTCTTACCTCCAGGAACGTTTGTGCCCAGAGCCGGGACCTGATTTTTAGTGCAGCACTCTTTCCTCTTTCCAGCTGTCCCACAGTGCATGAAATCAGGACACACTTCACATTTGTACAGTTCTGTGCACAAAATAAAGGGAAGTCATACTTATGCTTTGAAATTGTATAAAATCATAAATAAGCAAAACCAAATCAACTTTCCTTTAAAGAGCTAAGTAGTCTGAAATCATTAATTTCATTTAATAAACACAAGATGCCCCATGAGTCATTGTGAGAACTATAAACCTATCTGTAATAATGAAAATAAAAGTAAAAATTTTCAATAATATCTGCTCCAAAGAACTCTTAAGATGTCCAGGTATTTACCAATCCTTTGAGTCACGTGCTTTGTCTTCACCTATCAGTCATTTTATGATTTCAACACTTTTTTTCTGCTCTTATGCATGAAAAAGTGTTTATTTATATTCCTAAATCTTTTCTCTCTTCTAACTCTCCTGGTTTTCCCACTGATATTTACATTATAGCAGCCAGAACATTTGCTGAGATTCATTAGTTGCTTTACTTGAGACTTATTGTCCATGAAACATTCCTGATGAGCAGTGATTCTGGCTCATATACAGGGTGGAAAACAAAAGCCAAGCAATGCAACTCAAAACTATATACTCCTAAAGTCTGCCAGAAAAATGTTACAAAAAAGGTTAAAAGCTGACTAGAAGCCACTGAAGGGAACGAGCAGAGTCTCATGGAGTAACCACAGAAAATATGTGGCTATTCAGGGCACAGAAAGGGAGAAAGATCTCACAGAAAAATGATTAAATATGTGTACAAAAAAATAAAAAAGTTTTATATATACAAATGGGTTTTATCTGAAAAGTTTTTGTTTAATTCAGGAGGAAGGCTGAGGTTTTAATTGATTCCTATTTTTGTAACAAAGCAGAGAATCCCTCCCATGACAGAAGGCCTTGTGACCTCAAATTCAAAGCTAAGTTTTCATAAGTAAGTATATTCCCTAGTGAGAGTGAGAACGCACTACCAATGCCCATACTTCAGGAAATGAGATGATGATGTATGGAACAGATCTGAAAACACCCTTAAGGAATTCCCTATCTTTATAGACAGCTTTCCCAAAAATCTCTATCTTATTGCAGGATAAGCAAAAGCTGTATGCTTAATTGCGGTTTTCTGTATCTGCCTGAAAATGAAACTGTAAACCCTGGAACTTGCAGCTATAATCTTTGTTTTTTAAATGAAAATTTTAAAGTATCTGTTTATTTGGCCTTAAACATCCTCCAACCAGATTTATTTATGTTGCAGGAAGGAGAAGAGCTGTTTTCATTAATCACAGTGGCCAAAAACGCATACTAACAAAATAAATCATTAGTATGCAAAAAGTCTACTTTTGGCTGACATTTTAGGACCTGAACACATATTTCTGTTTTTTTAAGTAATGCATTTAGCCTGTAGTGATTTTCAGAACAATGTAACATTAGAACTAATGAAAGAGAAACCAAATGTTTAATAAACAGTACGAATAGAATAAGAGGTTCTCAGAACATTTTGTCTCTCTGTGAAAATGCTTTGAAGAAAACAATTTAGGATTTCTAAAGAAAAATACAAATTTTAACAAGTAATTATCACTGGCCAGTCAGTCTTTTCTGAGAGCAGCATTCATTTTTCATGTATACTTCTAAGGCGTCAAATAAAAAAATAATTTTTATTTATCATAGTATGTAATGCTGAAGGCACACAGAATTGGGACACCTTCTAACAGAACTAATGACATTGCTTTTCTATGCTCATCTTGAAAAAGTCCTGTTAGATATCCAGTGGTAAGCACTATACCCAATCCTATCCTAATTTGTGCTGATCAAAAGCATATTGTAGTAGAAGACTGCTAATCAAAGTGCCAATTTCATATTATTAAGTATTCAGCTAAATAGATTTGATCTGTCTACATCAAGCAACTGAAAATTCTCTGCTTCATATTTTAAGTTGGAGACAGTGCATACTTCAGAACTTCCTTAACCACTTCCAGTTGCTTCTGTAATTTTTATGTTGGCAGCCTATGAGCTTAATCACTAAGAAAGATAACTGATAATTAAGGTATTACTGAAGAATGGATTATGTGTTCTGTGATATTGACTGGTAAGTCTTTGAAAGCCCAGGCATTTTTCCTTCAGTCCCAGTGGAATCAGATTCTTTCCAGGGTATTGGGTTGATGAAAGAATGACATAGGAATCAACAGTGATTATTGTTTAAAATGAGTTCATCTGTGATTTTGTTCTTAACAATATTATGGTATTCATTACTTTCAGATTCTATCTTCTTCCTGTTACAAAAATTGCCAAATCAACTTTCAGAAGCACTCTAATTATCCTATTACTCCAGAAGATTTAGGTCTGTGAGGTTCTTTTCTTCCTACCAAATTCTAGTCATGTCAAGGAATTCAAACATGAGCTTGCAGTAAACAGCTTAATAAGAGACTGGAAAACAGGAAAGAAACTCTGCCTGAGGTTCGTAAAAATAGATGGAAAGCATTGACTACTTGAGTCCTTCCACTGACCTCAAGGTCACCAAGTTTGAACGCTGCCTCTAGGCAAGGGGAGCTGATACCTACAATGCTGAAATATGCTAAGGATAGCGCTTTGAATACAGGAATGGGAAAAAAAAACTTGTCAAAATACAGCCAAGTCTAAATACTCAGGTATCAGACTGACTAAATAAAACTATTTACTGGGAGAGAGATTGTTCCTCTTGTTCCAGCATTGTCTGGATTGTTAAAAATGCAGTGACCTGTCCCATTTGCCTTGTTTGTGGAAATGTAAAGTGAGAGAGTCCCACCTTCCCATGTGTATGTATGTATTTACCTGGGGGAACAAATATACTGCAAACTATTTATCTGTCAGAACTATTTATCTGTAACTTTACATGGAAATGTTAAAGTGTGAGCTACTCCTTAAGAAAGAGTCAGAATGCTAAGAGTCAAGTTAAGACAAGGCCTACTTTTCAGAAGTCAGAATCTGAAATTTATTTTGTGGATGAGGGTTTCATTCTCCAAATCAGTGATTAAACTCCCTGTGATAAGTGTGCATGACTGCAGAGGTTTGTCTGCAAACAGCCTGGAGTAACACAGCCAGGAATTTAGCACACATGATCTCTAACGTAAAAAATCTGTCAAATGAACTCTCTAACCTGTGGAATGGTGATATGCAATAAACAGCATTATAAATGGAGGGGTTAAAATTGCTTAGAAAAATATTTTAAAGTTTATAAATAAATTGCAGTCAAATCAACAGGCACCCTGATATACTGCATGCACAGTCTCAGTTTATAGCTTTTAGAAAGCTCACCAATATTTTTGCAGAGTTTTTCCTGTGAGGTTCTGCCACTGCAACATCTCTTCTCCTGACGTAATGAGAAATTGTGGAATTATACAAAAAAGCAGCAAGTTCAGGAGTGTCTTGTGGAATAGTAAACTGCAAAGAGAAAAAATGTGAATAATAATGACATGCTCATAGAATGATTTTAACAGATTTGTTCCCTCTCAGAGGTCTCGAATTTTGGATTAACACAGTTTTTTCAATTTAACATCACAACCATGAGAATATACTGTCTTCAGCTAGGAGCACGATGAGCAATAGCACAGCAAGATATTGCCCAGTTATAGGAATTACGGTAGATAACATTTTTTCCACTTTTTACTGGTGTCAACTTCATTTACTGTTGAGAATTCTTCCAGGATTCTTTCACCAGCATATATAGGCTTCTTTAACCATGAAAAATTAAAAATACACAATATAATGATATGCCCACATAGAAGCCCTCAGTATATGATCACAACTGATGTATATGTAGATCCATTTGAATACAAGATGATTTTCATATTTACTTTTTTTTTTCATAGATCCTAAAGTGTTATCATCTTCAGTAGTGAATTATTACAGCAAAGGTTTGAAAACAGCTCCCTATGGTTAAGAGAAAACATTCCTGTCTACCTGCAACAATTTAAAATCAGAATTTCTACAGTGGCCTTATTTTATCCTTCTTGAGCCACTAGCATGGAACTGTACAACTCTGTAGCTATTTTACACGCCACATACTTAGCACACTATATCTTAAATGGATTATCATCCCTCCCTTTAACTACAACAGACTGTCTCAGTTTTCCCGCTGTGAAAAACTGTACTGCTTTCTTCTCCTGAGCCTTATGACTTTGAGCAGGTTTACACACCTCCCCAGTTTTCACTTTTCATTTCAAAACCCTGGTTAGTTTTTCTCTTTTTCTAGCCAGGCTCTACCCTCTGCTGCAATGTGTAACTCCATCAGAAATGTTCTGGAAGAGGACTTTAAGTAAGAGCTACTGTACAAGAGGTGTCAGAGACCATTGAAGAGCAATGCATTGGATGGTATTATTTTGTTCCAAGACCAGGACTTACATAATGTAATAACAGTTTTGCAGCATGAGGAGACAGTGCCTCTGGAAGAAGTTAGCTCCTGCCAGTTGTGCTGGTGGATTTACATTGCCCATGTGGTGGATTTTAGCTGCTGTTTCACTGCTTCCCTGACAGATACCTCACTCATGGTACTTCAGTGCTCAGCTATTGAGAATGTGCCCCGTGTGTTACCTTGTAGAGCCTACCATAGCTGGAAACTCATGGAAGCTGGAAGCCTATACTTGTGGTATTAGTAGGCATAGGTTTCATAAATTGCTTTTTGCCATCAGTCTGGGACTAAAAAAACAATGCACCAGGAATAGTGGCTCAGGACATCTAGTTGAGCTGTCTTCTCACCACAGCTGCCTTTAGGAAGAGCAAGAATAGGGAATTCATACACAGTACTCTCCTAATAACTTTCAGCTCCCAAATGTTTTCTGCTTGGGGACTTACTTATCAGTATGAAGATTTTGTTCATTTACTAATCTTCACTGTACTTCTCTTTTGTGAATTTGTTCATTTTCCTCTTAAAATCATGTAAACTTTTAACCATGACTACTTTCCTTTGTCCACAAGTTCCAGACACTTAAGACCTGTCACCATGAACCACCACTTCCTTTTGCTTGCTTTGAATCTGGCTCTCCAGGCTTCATTAAGTACTCCAGTTCCTGTGCAGGAATAGGCAGAGGACAGTAAATCCACAGCCTTGTTCTTCCCACTACTATTCAATTTGTGGATCATATTTGTGCATAATCACCTCCTTTCCAGATTGATGCATCCCACTGTACCGAGTTCTTCTGCAATGGAATTCATTCCATATCTTTGATAAGTACTTTTGCTCCTCTTTACACCTTTTTCAAGATTCATAATTTTGTTTATCCTTTCACATCCCTCACTGCCTTGAGAGAAAGATAAGCTACAAGAAAGGGAAAAGTCCCTAGACTAGGGTCTTCCCACATATGCACAGGTTTGGTTCATTTTTGTGGATGAAACAACAAAGCACAAAGGAAACCTTTTAGCAAGACAAGAAATTCAGCAGTGGGGAGGAATATACTTCTTTGACTGAAACTGAACAATCTAAGTAATTTAAAAGGGGAAATGCCTGAGTGCCCTAAGACAGCTAGGCTCAGAAATCCAAGAGAAACCAGGCACATAACATCAGCCTTATTTGGAAATCTGAGCCAAGCATCTTGTTGTTTATACAAAACCTGAAGAAAGCTGTCTCTGAATCCTCTTCCCATCTCAAGTAATAGATAAGCATTACATATTTAAAACCTGACTGGTGATTTCATGCTGTTCAGTGCTTTGAAAAACTGAAGTAATGAAAGGATATTTAAATTCTTGAAATCATGATTGTGCATCTAAAGCAATATTCTGATAAAATAGACGGACCATTATTACAGGAAAATTTCTCACAAGCTTCACAAGAATTTGGTCTTGTTTATGTAACATATGAAATCATTATCAAGTAGAAGAAGGAAGAACAAATTAAAAAAAACAACACAAATTCAAAAACATACAAACAAAAAAACCCACTAAAAAACTGTCTCCCAAAAAACTTTGCCTGAAAATGTCCCTAAGAGCTGTGGCAGTATTCTATCCAGCTTCTCAATGCAAAAAATCGTAATCCCTCTCTGGTTTGCTGGGTGAAACACAAAAAGCTAGATGTAATGTATCTGGTATACATAACTTATTTTAATTCATTAAAGTATGTATTGTTGTTCTCTCTCCTAAAGCAAAAGATTTGACTTGTAGCTGCTGTGGTTATGAGCCATCCCCATCACTAGAAAGATGTCTCCACTTTCATCCATTATACCAAACTCAAACCCAAAAGACGTAAAGCACTTTTAGCACTTGGAATGCAGCTGTCCCTGCAAGATGTTTAACAGGCTACTGGTTAAATTTGGAAAGTGTTATTTACTCCAGAAATGTCTGGCATCAGCTATCCCTAATAAATTGGATACCTTGTTTTTGATGGGATAATATGTAGAACTGTGTTTTGCTTAATCTTCTGACTTTGAGCCAAACCAAGCTCTTTTGGGGGGATCTGCCATCACAAACATAGATCATAAAACAGGAAATTATCCAAGCAGCCACGGATAAGGTTAGAAAAGCTAAAGCTCTGACAGAATTAAATCTGGCCAGGGATACCAAGGGCAATAAGAAAACCTTCTCTGTGTACATTGGTGAGTAAAGGAAGATAGGGAAAAATTTAAGTTCTCTTCAGAAAGAAATGTGAGACCTGGTTACCCAGGATGGGGAGGAGGCTTAAGAAATCAATGCCTTTCAGTCTCAGTTTTCACCGACAAGTGTTCCAGTCATACTGCCCAAGTCACAGAAGGGAAAGGCAGGGACAGGTAGAAAGAACGGCCAGCTGTAGCAGAAGATCATCTTAGAAAACATCTAAGAAGCTTGAAAGTGTAGAATTCCATGAGACCTAATGAGATACATCCACAGATCCTGAGGGAACTGGCAGATTCATTAGCTAAGCCATTATCCATATTTAAGAAGTTGTGGCAGTCTGGTGAAGTTCTCACTGACTGGAAAAGGGGAAACATAACCCTCTTTTATAAAAAGGGAAAAAAAGAAACCAAATATGTACTATACAACACAACTGTCACAGTAGAAACATTACAGACTTATCTATATCTTGCTTCTTAACCAGGAAAATGATCTTGGGGTCACTGTTAAAAATTCCCCCAAAGCTCCATCCCATTGTGAAGTGTAAGTAAAAAAAATTAAATAAATAAAATCAAGCATATTACAGACAGGGATAGAAATAAAATACTTACCTTTATTTGCATTGTATTAATAGGAGAACTTGTTTGACAGTGCAATGGTCCATGTGTCTGAATGTGAAGAATATAAAGAAGAAATTCTTCTCGACTGGACACAGGCCAACCGACATGCAGAACTGTATTGTTGATGGCACTTGGTCCTATATTGTGCAGCTGTCAAAGAAATATCATCAGTACTTTCCAAGGCAGTAAATAACAACAAAAAAACAGAGCAACAACCACTTAGATATTTTCAAATTCTTAGTGTCCATAGCCTTGGAGAATTTTGGAAAGAATATATAGATTATTAACATTATTGATGGGGAATCTCTGGTAGGTAGAAGAGGAGGATCTCTGCACATTAGTCATAAAGTGGCAAATCTGGGAGAATAGAGTTTTCTGTCAGTCTGTATTCAAGAAATCCAACCCCTTTCTCATTTTTTCCTAAATATGAAGAGTTGGAATTACCTAAAAAAGTAAAAAAAAACACCCAACACAAAACACACTAGTAAAAAACCACTAAAGAACTATGAAAAATGAACCTTAACAGATCATACTTGAAAATAGTAGCCAAAACTTCAGAATACAAATGAATCATGTTTCAGGGCACAGGAATAGAAGGTATAGCAGAACTTTAGCTTCTCTGGTTCTATTTTCAATACTTGCCAATTCAAATTTCCTCAAAAGAAGAAAAGGAATCAGTTTTCCTAAGGTAACATCCCAGGACATTATTTTTTTCTTTGAAAAAGAGCAAAGATAGAAATAAAAGAATTCTAAAAATCTGGGCTATTAAAATAGTTTCCTTATATCAGTTTACAATTTGAAAATATCTGATGACCACAGGAAGTCTGGATATGTGTTATCACTGGGCTTGAAAAGCTAAAGAAGTTGAACATCATGGAGATCTATGCAAAATTTCTAGAGATGTAATAACCTCTTTTTTTTAAATGTGTAGAACTTTTGTGACTGATGAACTTAATTTAGAACTAAATAAAATCCATTTTCAATCTTAAATCTTCTGGGAGGGCGTTTGGCCTTTATTATGCTTTGCTGCTATAAACCATGAAAGTGGTTTCCTTGATAAGTGTAACTAATCACCATAACTATTTTAATACATTTGAAATCACATATATAGTTTCACAAACAATCCAAATGCTCAAGACAAGAAGATTTGTTAGGGATTTTTCACTTTGGAGAAATGTGTTAAGATGAGGAATTCACAAATGATAACTTTATTTTACAGTCTGATTCATCACAGTTTGGTATGTCATGCAAATTGTAATCTTACATTGTTCATTAAGCTCAGTTGCTTATATTTTCTTGTGGGCTAGTTTTTGAATTATAACCATATGTGAAGCATTCAGTTTTACCCTCTAGAATAAAGATCATCTATCAGATTCTAAGGATGGTCTGTATTCCATATAGTTTACTCAATGCCCTTTTTCTATGCTGAACTCTTCTCTTTTAATTGACAAATCATCCAGAGGAAAAGACCAACAACAATAAAAGGTAGAAATATGAGTTCTTCAAATATTAAGAGTTATTTTCAACAGACCATTTTCTGAGCAGTGAGGTAACAAGTTACATGTATGTCTACAATTTTTTCTCAGTTAGTCAAATGTCAAAGGAAAAATTTTTTCCTGTGCACAGCACTCACAGCTTCTAATGAGAAAGTATTTGACAATAATTACAATGAACTCTTAAGCACTGTTTTTAATTCTTGTCAAACACCCAAAATGTTTATAAATCCCTTAAGTATCAGAGACAGACTCTTAACATAAACTAATATCTCCTCTACTCACATGACCAGATAATGCAGTTGTGAATTCCCAGATTAAATTTAGGTCATGTGCAAAAGTCAGAATATTTACATTTGTGGCTTTATCTAGCTGCAGATAAAGAAATTATACCAAATTCATCATGATTTCAATGGGGGCAGTGTAAGGTCCTGTGGCAAAATATATAATTTTTACCTCATAGATGTGTTCTACTAAAGGACCAACTTCTTCTTCTTTTGTAGGTTCATCTTTGGGTTCCCAGTTGTGAAGTGGCAAAATAATTGTCGGAGGGTGAGACACTCTGTAATACACAAAACAGGTTAAAAGAGTTATTGTTACCAGTGACTGACTGTGTCACTTTTATAAAAAAACTAAGACCAAAACAGAGCTCTCAAGGGCTTGTTATCTGGGCATATTAATTAGAATTAGGTGAGGTGAACACTTCATTGCTTCCATAAAGTACTACCTAGTCCTTACAGATGTCTTTCAGCATGGTAGGTGAGTTCTGGAACAGACATCTGTCATCTGCTAGTACTGCAAATAGATCTTGGTGCTAAAATGGTATTAGCCTTTCTTTGCAGGGTGAAGTCTCACTCAGTTTTGCTGGTTTACAGAGCCTTTAGCTTAAAAGCCATACAATTTCAATGCTTGTTCTGCCAAAGCAGGAAGTTTGCTGACAGAACACTGTTAAAAAACAATCACTAAAGACTTTTTTTAGACTATAACATTTGAATTAAATGATGGACTTCTAGGCACAGATGTTAATCACTTTGCACAGCTGCGGATTGTCCCTTGAAGAAGAGAATATTGGATGGTTCTGTTGCAAATGCTGACAAAATACTTAAGGAGGAAACAAACTGTTCTTGCTTACAGCTCTTACGTCACATACATAGAATTAAATGTCTGAAAGAAAGTTTCCTACTGCATACAGTTTCTCAAAGTAGTAAGGAATCCCAGAGAACAACTTAATATCATCCAGCTAAAGTATAACTCTATGAAATTTAGGGCATCCTAATGAACCCCCAGATTTCAAAAGGCCAGCAGTTTGTACTAACTGTGAATTTGCCAGAGGACAAATTCACAAGCTAAACCAAATAAGAAAGGAAATTAAACATATTTATTAAAAAAGACATTTCAGATTAGGTACTTAGCCTAACTTGCTTTTTTTCACAAATGACCTTGTTTCCAATATGAATTTTAATTATTGATCGTTGTTGGAGAGTAGGAACTTTCCTGCAATGATACAATAGCCAAGACACATAGACCCCCAAGCTACTGCAAAAATTTGCAAATCAGAAAGTGTACAGAGACAAAAAGAAGCAGGCAGGGTTTCAAAAACTAGTAGTTTCTATTGCTCTCCCTGGGAAGTGTTTTCCTTATCCTTAGAATTATAAAATGCAGAGTGTAAATGTAGACATTCAATTAAAATGATTCTAAAGTATAAAAGGACATTTATTTTAACAGATTTCAGAGTTATTTTGAGGACTTCTGCTATTGACATGAAAGTAGTAAAAACATGTCAAACAAAGAAGAAATATTTTCTTTTGACTATTTTATTTTGCATTTAAATGAGAATATTTTTAACACTTGAATGATTTATTAGGCAAGGATTTTTCCTAGACTTTCATGTGACAATTATCAGTCAAACAAGAGAACTGAAAAATAAGATAAACAAAGCATGGTCTACAGAAAAGGCCTATGTGGGATATACAAAAAGAATTCTGCCAGCTGCAAATCCTCCTAATCCAAATGACTTCCTTCCTGAATTCCTCATTCCTCTGGTGCTTTTTCAGCAGTGGAAGATAACAATTACAATACTAAAACTCTTACATTTTTATAGAAAAAAAAGATAAGCAAAATAATCAAATCTCAGTTACCAAAGCAACTGCTCACTGAAGTATCTAAGGAGTTCTCTTAATTTTCTTTAGAAGAGGATATTGGAGAAGATTTCTTCCTTTTTCAGAGAGGAAGAATTTGCATGGTTCCACTGTACAAGTATACATGCCTGTATGCTTATTCAAAATTTCATAACTACTTACTTTTCCTCAGTAAAATGTACAACACATCCAGTCCCACTTCATGCAACTTTGTGCAGAGCAGAGAAACCAATGCAAGATATTTTCCTATCCAAATGTGGACATAGTCTGTTTTATTTTTATCTAGGAAATAGTGAGTAATTCCCTCGGAACTGCATGTTTTAGCATCTCTGAGTAATTAGCAAAATCTGTGAACAAAGCACTTTGTACATGCATGCTATAGCTAAGAAAACTACAAGACTTAAGAGGGAAGAAACTGGAAATCATTCAATTGAGTAATTCCTCTGTATTTAATGACCTGTTTCTTAGCATTGTAGGGAGCACTTCAAGACACTTTTTCCACTTGTTGCCAAGCTCTTAAAAATCGAGGATGTTTTGGTCATTTTTGGTCTATCCATTTACCTGTTACATTAAAAAGAACACGCTATGGTACAAAAAGAACATGTTGGAGGCAAAAAGTTTGCAAAGTAAAAACGGTTTGCAAAATCTTTCTATGAAAGCAACAAGAAACCTCACAAAAAACCCAGAATCCACAGCTCTGGAAGCAGCCCTTACCGAGAAGTCCTGTGTATGTAACCACAACTGTTCCATTGATACTCTGAGGCTCCAGCCAGCCTGTAACCTGGGTGTTCACCCATGGCAACATCTGACAGCTGCTGGCTCCCAACATTTTCTCACACATCTGTAGCCCATTAAATAACACCTCTGATTCTTATTTCCCCAGCCTCTACTTCTCTTTCTGTGTTACCCTGATTTTGTACTTTTCACCTCCCTTCCTATCCAGCTCATTTCCCTAGATCACCACTAAATACAGAAAATGAAATAATATTCTCACTTGTGTCCTTTAATTAAACATGTTGTATTTCAACTGCTCCTTTTCAGAAATACAATCATTAACATATATCTACACAGTCTTTGAGTGCCAGTCCTTCTTTTTTCACCCTCACTCTAGTTTTAGGGTTAGTCTTCTTTACCTGGAATACACTTACAAAACATGATGGAAATACTTTTAAAATCTCACTGACTTAGCTTGAATATTAGAGCAGAAAACATGGTCTTGGTGATCTGCATAATTATCTGACTTATTGCTGGCACTACATAGTTATAATATCATTAAAGAGATAACAATAAATAATTTTTAAAAATAACCCCCACCATAAATACATACATTTTTATTTGTTCACACCTAAGGTAGCCCTTGATGTGCACTCTATAAGAGACATCTAGCACTCTTACATCAGCCAAGCCTCATGGCCTGACTATGGAATTGAAGCCAAGCCATGTAGTTTCCTGTTTTCCCCTTGCAGAGCTGATAATGGTTAAGGTCTTGAGCTGTACTTTGAAAAGAGAAGTAGGAGATCTAACATCTCAGACAAAGAGCACTGGGGGCAATTATGTGCTTTAAAAGAGTATCCTGACAAATTCCTCCAGAATGCCGGGATAGAAGTCTAGTTCCAAGATTTTACAGGGTAGTCTGATATTCTTGTAGAATTATATAAATTAGGTTGGAAAAAAATCTTTAATATCATCAGGTCCAACCATAAAATTAGTACAATCATGTCCACCACTAAATCATGCCCCTCAGTGCAACATCTACACAGCTTTTCAATACCTCTAGGGATGGTGACTGCATCACTTCCCTTGGCAGCCTCTTCCAGTGCTCAAAAACCCTTTCTGTGAAGAAAATGTTCTTAATATCCAACCTAAACATCCCCTGGTGCAACCTGACGCTGTTTCATCTCATCTGATCACCTGTTACTTGGGAGAGGAGACTGACCTGGACACAACCTCCTTTCAGGTAGTTGTCTCCCTGAGCCTCCTCTTCTCAAGACTAAACAACTTCAGCTCCCTCATCCACTCCCTCATCCACAAGCCTTGTGCTCCAGACCCTTCACATGCTTTGTTGCCCTTCTCTGGACATGCCCCTGTACCTCAATGCCCCTCAAGTGAGGGGCCCAAATATAATTCCAGTATTTGAGGTGTGGCCTGACTAGTGCCGAGTACAGGAGGATAATTAATGCCCTGGTCCTGCTGGCCAAGCTATGTCTGATACGGGCCAGGGTGCCATTGGCCTTCTTGGTCACCTGGGCACAGTGCTGGCTAATGTTCAACAGGTAATTATCAACTAATTGCATTTCATAGCTTCCAAAACCAAGCTGTATCTGAAAATAGAGATAGAAATAATCATCTTTTTCATATCCTGTGCTTGTTTAGTTTTGGTATCCTTTGTGTCAGTGGATAAGCACTTGCTTCAGGCAGAAATGTAAGAATCCTACAGTAGTAGCTGGTTGACTTGTTGTAATGACTCATTCCTTACTCATCCTTTCTCCAAAGGCCTCACTCTGCTCCCTATGCCCTGCCATAATGTGGTTCACATTTCCAGTCACAAAAGCAGTAGATTCTGCTTTAGTATTCAGCATGAAGTGTCCCAGTGGTTGCACAAGCAGACCTAAACATATGAAGGGGTATTTTGTGCTAGAGTAACATCCATGCATGATTTGAATGCCCAGTTAAAATGTCGGCTCCGAGTAGTGTTACTACAATGTGAGATTCTCCAGGTTGCTGTATTTGCTCAGAAACTCAGGACATCCTTAGTAGCTCCATCCTGCAAGGCTTGCAGGGGTGAGACCCAGGTGTTCTAGGTGGACAAGGCATTTGACATTATAATATGGCAAAAGATTCACTACACAGGATTATGCAGAAAGATTCAATAAGAAAGTAGTTATCTTAATGAGTTGAAATAGTTGAATACTTACCCTCTGATCTGTACTTGAGCCACAGCACTGACATTGATATGCAGGTTAACTAAGTTGCTGGTGGGATTTATCTTGTTAGAGCTGGAAAAGATATGTACAAGTGTTAACAAAGGTTATTTATCAGAACTCTAGATTGTTATAGATAAAGCACTGAATACTACAAGGCCCCAATTAGGATGCAATGCCATTGGATATATTACATCATGGGCTTCCCATTGCTACCCTTTAGTCTTGCAGGACACTGGTATTATTTGAGCTCATCACATGCTTAATAATACAATCAACTCAAGCTGCCTTTAGAGAATCCTGTGATGAATATGATGATACAAATTTATGTGGCTCGGAATATCATGTAAATTCCGTTGTTCAACTTGGCTATCTGTCTGGATAGAAGTATTTTATTAAAACCCAAGTTTATTCCATGCATTGGAGAAAGGCAACGTTAACGAACAAGACAGGCTTTTTATAAAAAATATTGTTTTTATGGCTCTCCAAACTTGTGACTTCTGCATGACAGTGTCTTTGAGGAAAAAGAACTGAGATCAATTGTTTCTTTACTTTTCTTATTTTCTTCCCTCCCCTTCCCTATCCAGAGAGTGTTTACACTCTTAATCCCACTTATCAGTGGAAACAGATCCCTATGTTTAGAGTCCAGTGCTATCACTCACTTTGTTGTCTCTCCTTTTTGAAAATCCTTATTAAAAAAGGTAGTTTCTCTTACTCTAAAAGACCATTCCTAGGACTACAGCCCATTTATGTAAAGAAAGGTTTTCAGGTTCAAATTCATTAAAACAGAGAAAATAAGTAACTACAGATTTAGAATTTATTTAATCATGGGATTAACAATACTAAATTTGCATGTTTTTTTCAAGCAAGTGTGTACTTCCTTGCTTCACAAAGACTAAGTTTCTACTGCTGTCACAGTTTGCTGTTATCACATCTGGGGAGCATCAGTCAAATGGAAACACTGAGAGGAGGCCAGCATTCCCAGTGACTGACTCCTGAGAATTAAAGCGCAATACTGCTTTGATCCAGGCTTTCTGCTTACAGATTTTTAAAATTAGGAGCAGCTCTAATTTGTTTGTAAACTAATGCAGATTCTCCTCAAACATTATTTGAACTTTTAATGTGATCCTCTATAGCCATTGTTTTGACCACAAAAGTAAAGAAATTGCTTGAAGTATAAAAGTTACTAAATCACTACTTTGTTAGAATAAGCTGCTCTCCAATTTGTATAATGGCCTCACTTTCCATGGAGCTAAAATACAGATTTTGAGCATATATAGATATATCTATCTATGGTATTCAAATCTTATTCATGTTTTATGGTATTTTTTAGGGATGAAAATAGTTTAAATAAGAGTGCCAGGACATCTCTCTTTCTAAGGGATATATAATTGCCTAATGAAGTCCACATCAGAAAAGGAATCAGATTTCAAGACACTACTCAGACTCTTCCTTGTTTGCTATAAGTAATGAACTTCAGTCTTGCAAACCAAAATATTTATTTTCCACTTGATGTTTTGAAGTAAGTGAAAGGTCTCTCTTTTGAATAAATCAGACTAGGACACAAATTCAGATGTGTTCTTCCTTTTCCTTCCCTTGAGGTAGTTTCCTCTTTCTGCCTCATGGATTTCTGTTCTCTTCTCCTTTTAGAATTGTTTTACCTGTTCACTAAGGACATAGAAATGCTCAAACTGTAGTGCTGCTTGAGAATGAATGTACAAAGCAGTGAGTTTGAACTGTAGGGTACATTCCCATGAAAGAACTTTTACTCCTTTTATTGGTTTTAAAGTAGCTGGGTGCTCTTCAGCACTATCATACCAGTTTCTGGAAACTGTTGGTTTTGGTAGCCCAACATGTTTCCTTCCCTTTTCATTTTAGTGAGTCACACTCATGGAGGAAGCATGAGATGCTGTTTTCTCCTGAAGTTCAGACTTATTCCTCAGTGAATTCATGTCACTTTTTTTTTAAAACAGTGACTTACCCTCAACTCTTACCACCTAGACAGATTTAGCTATCCAAAAAGCTCTGAGACTCCCCAGTTTCATATCATGAAAAAGGTTTAGAGGCATATGCCTCTAAACATACCCATCTAAAATTGAATTGCTTGCATTAAGAGAACAGTGGCATGGACAGGAGACCTACAAGTTAATTGTTGTGCCTCTGTCTGGAGGAGCCCATGCCCAGGTTTGCATGGTCTCCAGCTCACCAGCCAGATCTCTGGGAGAGGCCTGAGGCCCGACCAAACACCTCGCTGATATTTGTGGCATTGCTGTGCCCTTCCCAAGTTTCTGCGTGCCCTTTCCTTCACGGGTTACATTATGGAAACATGACTTAAATATTTTAAATGTCTCAGTTATTTACCATAATGAACATGATCAAGGCCCTCATTAAAGGCCAGACATTAGCAATTAAGTCTGAGTGTGTGGGGCAGAGAGGGCAGGAACTCCAGTGTGTATTTGATGAAGACAGATGAAGCAGAAGCCCTGCCACCTACAGAAGTCCCAGGTTTGTTCTTGTTTTTATCTTAACCCAGCCTGCCCTGTGGAAGAAGTACTGCTCAGCATAAACCAGAAGATTCTCCAGCAGTAATATGTGAGGCCCACAAATGAGGAGGAAAATAACGGAAAAATGACAGAGGTTCACCTGCATCAAACTGAAGTAGTTCTCTCTCTTCGTGCCTGCAAATCCATTGAGCAGATTTTAACTGCTCTCCTTTTATTTTCTAAATTGCTGTGAAGAAGAGGCATGTCTTTTTTTTATTTAATTTCATAGCATGATGTGTTTGTACATATGCAACTCTGTTACAAAGTTATCACTGTTCATTGATTTGGAAGTGGAAAACAAGGTAAAAATTCGGCAAGACTGTAGAAGATCCTTGGATTACCGACCAAAATCAGTTAACCTGAACTTTAAAGAAATTATTTTGCTAAAAGCTAGCAAGGTTACAACTTCACAAATCCTCCTGAAGTAAGCTACCATAGGAAAGCCCATGAAATTATTTCTGACAATTAAGAGTTAGAGTGACTTTCTTATATATTAAAGTTTATGTATCAATAGAAATTCATAATACAAATAACCATGTTCTTGATAAAATATCTAACCTTTTTATTTGCAGCTCAAAACTGATGCTGGACTCTGCATTTTCAAAATGCTGAACAGAAAATCGAATGCCTGTGGAGAACTGAGAAAGAAACAAAACAGCAGGTTATTAAAATTGGTTGATCTCCCAGATCAATAAAGCAGTACTGTTCAACATTGCATTTCACAGACATACTGGATATTGTTGCTTTTTAAAATCAGTATGCAACAACATCATCTAGTTGTTCTTAAGAAAGAATACCATCCTGCCTGTGTAAGTCACCAGATGGAAAACTTGGCCGGAGAGAGGAAAGATCAGAGGAATAGAGATGGATACTCCCAAGAAAACAGCGGTGGGTCCTTCTTCATCCAGACAGTCTTTGCTTTACTTTGCTGAGCCAAAAGAAAATAATAACTGTCTGGCACCTCTCATCCCTGCCTCCATCCCTGCATGCCTTTGTCCAGGTCTCCAGGGCTTCCTGCTTCCCACACTGTCTCTGCAACTGTGACCTATGAGACGCTTTAGGTGTTGTGGAGCTAACTGATCATCTGAGGCTAAATTAGTGGCAGTTTTAATTTAATTTTAGTTTGATTTGTTTTTACGGCAGTTCTGTTAAGAGGAATACAAAGTTACATTTGCAGTTTAGTTTGCCACAACTTGCAGTGTGTGAGCAGAGGAGAGAGAGGGTGAAACACACAGCTCCCAAAACTGAGGGAGATAAGTGCTTCCACTGGTGCTCCCTTGTGTTTCTGCAGATGTGGCTTCTACCCTTTGACAATTTCCATCGGCTTCTCCCTTCCTGTCTACCTCTTCTCTGGCCTGATGGTAGAATTTCTCATCAGATAACAGGCATATTGGGCTTTAATTTTTTAAGAAAGGATGGTTACATATAGACATATCCTCCATGTGGAGAAACAATCTCCCTGAGAAATTCATCAAAAGGTATTAGGAAATGAGGACATCATTCCCTCATTTCTGCCAATATCTGACTAGATTATGGGGGGGGGGAGGGAAAGAAAAAGAAAATTGTCTTCTTGGCATAATTTCCTTAAAATACTTGAGGGAACCTTGTCAGCAACAGGACAAGACACAACAATGTAGGGTTTTATGTTTGGGACTTAGACTCAACATCGCTGAAAAGGAGGAATTCTCCTCTGTGGATGTTGTTTCATATGTTTAAGCAATTCCTTTTTCCCAAATTTTTTTTTTCACTCAATTCTCCTTCTTTCTTCATTTGCAGGCGTGCAACACTGAATATTAATCCATCTCCAGAACAAAACTTACCTAACGTGTTTCAACTACTTTTTTTCAGCTGGCCTACGCTGAAAGCAATATTGTCATCATAAAGGAAATGGTGAGTTCAAATCTTTGAATTCTGATTATTTTAATGTCAAAGTTATAGTTGATCTCTCTCTTTGGGACTAGAATCTTTCAGATGAAAAGACAGTGCTCGTTAAATTACTCAGAAGTTGAATAGAGCTGACTTGGAATAGAGATGTAAGCTCTTTATAAGGCCACTTTTTGGAGATGATGTTAACAACTGCATTGAAATTCCATCCACCTTTAAAAATGTAATGACTTTCTTTAGTCTTTAAGACAAGAATTTCCAAATATTCAGTTCACCATTTCTCTTACTGTTTTTACTAACCAGTCTAAATAAATTTGTTTCCACTTACAGCAGAAAAAAGATTTGATGAACCAAAGATAAAATTCTCATCAGACAGGGCAAATATGTAGTTCTGATGATGTATTACACCCCTGAGGCTTAATCCCTATTTAATGGTGAAACACACTCCTACTGTACAACTCTAATAAGCTGCAGATGTTGTCTTTGTATAGTTGAATGACATTGTTAATGTCAAGTAACCCTTGACACTGTTACTAATAATGGGGCAAAGATGTTCACTTGCCCTTGCTGAAAACCCACTGAGGCCAAAGAAGTTTAATTTGATTGAACTTGTAGATTAGCAATCACTCAACCTCCTTATTTTACTAGGACATAAATTTTATCAGAGTAGTTTGATTTTATTCAAAATTTTCCAAGTGAAGTTAGTTTCATTAAAATTTTTCCATGTTTGTAACATCATGTATCTTTGAAATACATGACATTTCTGCTATTACTGATAAGCTTTAATCTGTTACTATGTTTGATAGGATTTAGGAGTATGCTGGCAGACAGAAGGAAAGCTTGTTTTAAAGTGTCTTGCAGTGCATAAGGAAGATAAAACCTCTGTGCTCTTGAAGAATGAGTTTGGTTCATACCAACAAGTAGGCAAGACCTTCCAAGCCTCCAGTCTTCTAACCTTATTACTACTGAATTCTATTAACTTCGAAATTTTTCTACGAGAATTTTTTATAAAACCTATATTTCACTTGCTAATGCCACTGAACAGGCATAAGGAAGCTTGTCAGTCAGATCCATTTCAGAATCATTAATGAGTACACTGAGCACTCTTTGCCAGTGAGATGGTATCAGTCATTTAGTTTGCATTCTGGGCCATGTGGTATTCCGATTTTCCTTACCCTTTCTTTTTACCTTTTTTTTTTACTTTTTCAACTTTTTTTTTTCCCTCAAAGATATTACTGAAAAGGTTAGGTACTTTTTTGTAGTCAGTAAACAATTTTAAGGACACAGATGACAATGATGCATTTTGAAGATGCAAAACGTCAGTCAACCCTGTAGTCCACTGCAGTAATATCCCATGGGTTATATCACAAAATCCCAACATAACCCTCACAACTCAGAAGTTGATCTGAAAGAATTCTTTAAAAAATCTCAAGAATTCTAGGGTTTCAGGGTACCAAAAAGCCATGACAGTGACTCAATAGTTAAGATCTTTAGGAACGTTCAGTTTTGACCTAATCCTTCCTTTCTACTCACAACTTCCACAGAGTCCCTTTCTGACTATTTTGAGAATAACTGATCTCCTGCCAGCGGAGAATTGTTTTGCAGAATTGGAAATGGATCAGAGCAACCTTTTGTGATTTATGCAATTTGTACAAAGGGCTGGTATTTTGCTTTTGAAAGTACATTTGCCATCATAAATATGTTTGGACTGAAAAAGCAAAAGTTCTTTCACCTTTTCTGAGCATCCAGGAGAGCTGGTTTCAAAGACAAAGTTCAGATTTAAGATTTCACTCACTATAATCAAACAATTTAACCATCTGGCTTTTTAATGCTCTATCTTTGCATGCCTCAATTTTAAAGGGTTGAATTACTTTATTATAAACCAGAACATCCTTAAATACATCATAAATCCTGTTGGTTTATTCTGCTACTTCTTAGTCACTCTTCACACAGCATTTTGCTTAGGAATATCTGGTAATGGCAAACTAAAATGGTAGCCCTAGAATTGATTCTGAAGAAAAGAAGAATCAGTTATACTGTGAAAATTCATAAGGACACAGGTGAGAGTAGTACTGCTTTAGTAGCCACCAAAGGGCATTCCTGAAGTCTTCACACTGCTAGCATTTTGAGTCAAGGATGATGTGGAAACAAGGCCAGAGAGGAGTCTGAGGGTCTGTAGTTCAACATGTGAGTGTCTCTTGTGTTTAGTCTTCCTTTTCTCTTCCAAACCCAGGGAGTTTTATGCTCTCCTGCCCTCCTTTACTGCATCCTGATCATCCATAAGATTCTTGTCTACTTTTGTCTGTGTCTTGAGAATTTGCTTCTGCTCTGAAACTAACTGGGAAACCACTAAGCAGGTAACTAAAATTGCTGGTTTCTTGATACAAGAGATTACAGAATCAGAATTACAGAATATGCTGAGTTGGAAGGGACCCACAAGGATCACTGAAGTCCAACTCCTGGCCCTGCAAAGGAATCACACCCAAGAGTCACACCATCTGCTTGTGAGTATCGTCCAAACACTTCTAGAACTCTGTCAGGCTTGGTGCTTCGACCACTTCCCTGGGGAGCCTGTTCCAGTGCCCAGCTACCTTCTGGGTGAAAAACTTCTTCCTAAGATCTAACCAAAACCTCCCCTGATGCAACTTCAGGCCATTCCCTCAGGTCCTGTCACTGGTCACCACAGAGAAGAAATCAGTGCCTGTCCCTCCTCTTCTCCTCACAAGGAAGTTGTGACTGCAGTGAGGTCCCCCCTCAGTCTCCTCTTCTCCAGGCTGAACAGACCAAGTGCCCTCAGCCGCTCCTCACACGGCTTCCCCTCAAGGTCCTTCACCATCTTTGTTGCCCTCATTTGGACACTCTCTGACAACTTAATGTCAGACAACAATGTTGCCCTCATTTGGACACTCTCTGACAACTTAATGTCTTTTTTATTTTGCAGAGACCAAAACTGTATTGTAATACAATACAGTATTTGAGGTGAGGCCACACCAGTGCAGAGCAGAGTGGGACAATCCCTTCCCTTGATCAGCTGGTGATGCTTTGCCTGATGCCCTCCAAGACAGGGTTGGCTCTCCTGGCTGCCAGGGCACTGCTGACTAATATTCAACTTGCCCTAGACCAGGACCCCCAGATCCCTTTCTGTGGCACTGCCTTCCAGCATCTCATTCCCCAGTTTGTACACACATCCAGGGTTGCCCCATCCCAGGTGCAGAATCCAGCGCTTTCCCTTGCTGAACTTCCTATGGTTGGTGATTGCCCAGTCCTCTAATTTGTCGAGGTCTCTCTGCAGGGCCTCCCTGCCTTCAAGGGAGTTGACTGTTCCTCCCAGTTTTGTGTCATTGACAAACTTGCTTAGTATCCCTTCCATTCCTGCATCCAACTCATTTATGAAGATATTGAAGAGCACAGTGCCCAAGATGGAGCCCTGCAGAACTCCACTGGTGACAAGTCGCCAATCTGATGTTCTCCCATTCACTATTACCCTCTGTGCTCAACCTGTGAGCCAACTGCTCACCCATCAGACAATGTATTTATCCTTCTGTGTGCTGGACATTTTGTCCAGAAGGATTCTGTGAGAGACAATGTCGAAAGCTTTCCTGAATTCCAAGAAGGTTACATCAGCTGTCTTCTCTTGGTCAAGTAGGTGGGTTACCTTATTGTAGAAGTAAATGAAGTTTGACTAGCAGGACTTTCCTCTTATGAAGCCATGCTGGCTGTGACCAGTGACTGCACTGTCTTTCATACTTCCCAAAATAATCTTCTCCATAACTTTACTGGGTGCTGAAGGAGACTGACAGGACTGTAGTTACTGGGGTCTTCCTTCTTCCCCTTATTGGAAATCAAGACAACATACTCCACCTTCCAGTCAGCTGGGACATCTCCAGCTTCCCAAGACTGCTCAAAAATCCTTGAGAGAGGTTTGCGATGACATCAGCAGCTCTTTGAGGATTCTTGGGTTAATTCCCATTTTTATTTGACTTGACTTGGAATTTATCTAGTGCATTGGCCCACCACTGCCTCCCATCATCCCATTATGAAAATTCCATTCCTTGGAAAAGTTTTCAATTATTCTTAGCTTTTAGGAGTTTCATTTAGTAGAATAAAACAAAACCTTCAAAATCTTTTATCCCTCTTGTCTATGTCCTTCACAGAAAAAATGTTTGTAGTAATCTCTTCAGACTTTTAGTTCACAGTTGTTCTATCGAGAAAGATGCTCACCAGCAAGGTTCCTCCTCCCAGGAGGTCCATTACCTAGAGTTCAATTTTCAGTGGTTTCCAGCTCCTTATAACTGTATGTATAACTGTACAGTATAATGTCCTTATAACTGTATAGCTGTATGAAACACCTGTTCACATTCACTTTCAGTTCTGTGTCTGATCTGAGGCTATCCCTAGGATCCAAACTAACTTATTCTAGTCCCAGTCTCCCATGAGGAGCGTGACTCATTTGGTTCTTTTATTGAGGGTTAGACATGAACTGCTTCGAGATCGTAAGAAGCCAGGAAAGATCCCCTCTGTAGAGAGTCTGAAGAGTGAAATACTGATCTTCCATAGGACAAACCTTAACTTTGTAGGGATTTTGAAAAAAATTTAGGAAATTTGCTCTGGTTTCTTTGCAAAGCCACAGGCCCAATATGAAATTCAAATAGTGGTAGTTTTCAATCAAAAGCTGTTGTTTATTCCTGATATATGTTCATGCTGCTGACCGCTTCATTTTTATTAGGACAGTTTTTTTATCTAGGTATAAATGTTTGGATTATTTGCTTTTAGCTAAATACTTGTAATATTTACAAATTTGTAAGAAACACTAAATTCCTCTGCAAGGGCATCCATGGCTGAACATTCCGGAGTTTAACACTTCTGGGATTTCCCAGACTGTTTTGTCATGAAATAGGGACAAAGGATGACAATTATGGAATGGGTAGCTCTTTTTTATCTCCAAACCTATTTTAAATCCTTACCTACTGTCCATCATCAGCCATTATTCAATTCCTTTTGCCTAAAAAACAAGGCTACCAACGTTTCAGCTAATGTGTAGTCTTATTAATGAGAGGCTGTCTTAGGAAAACCTTTAGATTTACAATAATAACTTGAAGTAAAACTTTATTCCAACCCCATTTTCCTGGATGTAAACTGTGATATAAATGGATAAGACAACCCTTATGCACTGAAGATGAGAATCAGGCTAAAGAAATTGTTACTTACTATACCCCTTAAGTAAAGGGAATACTAAAAGAGAAAAATAAACAGAGCACATTACAGATTGGGATTCTCTTCTCATTTACTTGTATAACTTCTGTGACTTAAACTGAGTCACTTTCATTTTCTTTGCAGCAAATGAAATAAAACACAGGTTCCAGCATAATTAATCTTTTAGAAAAACAAATTGTTAGTTCTTTAGAGGCACAGTTCTGCCTCTTATCACACCAACAATTTCCTGTCCAACTAAATAATTTGGTTTATGTGCTGCTTATTGGAACTCCTTCTGCTAATTGAATAGATTTCCATTTGTTCCCCTTTAAAATTCAATTAGATAAAAATCAGTAGATGCATCTGGTTTTCCCTTACATTTGCGCCAGCCACCATGGGGTTCCCAAGATCACAAACCACCATTCTAGTTTCATTTTCCATCTTGTAATCACAGCTCAATACACGCAGTGCCTGCAACGAAAGGACACCAATACAAAGGTCAGAGATCACAGTGAAATGTATCCAGTTGGGAAAGTGATGCCTTTTTGACTGTGACATTTCTTTTGATTTTGGACACCTGCTCAGTGCACTATCAAAACATTTACTTGCTTATTGTCAGAAAACAGGGGAAAACTGATGCCAGGGAAAACCGAACAGGATAGTTTCCCAGAACCTTAAGAATCACGATGAGATCACTGTATGTCTAGTTTTAACATACCGCTCTGCTATTGTGAATCATTCCTATAGCCATAATGACTCAACAGAGAAAAATGAGCAGGCAAACCTGGGTGAGGAGAAAAGGCCTCATGCTAATTGCAATGGTTGTGTTATCCATCACCAGAAGTCTCTATAGTGAATTTCTGGCATTGGCAGAACTTTATAATGGATCAAGCCTAAACCCTTATTTTCGAATCTCTGTTAAAACACTTAGAACATTTAATACTGCTGTAAAAACATAAACTGTTATCTGTGTTTATAAACTGGCAACAAAGGAGATAGGTTTTCAAATTATCAAATTAAGGTTTTTGTTGTTTATAGCAATCTTTATCACTAGTAGTGTCACCTGTAAAAAAACAGACTGTATAAAAGGAGGAACAGCTATAGAAAAGTGCAAATTACAGAATAAGACAAACCAACAAAATGTGTGGGTTTTTTTTCTGCTTTCCTCTCTGACATATTCAATAAAAGAAGATATTTCCATATATGTGCAGAAGTAAACAAGCTTTGTCAAAGCAGGATGCAGCAAGTTACACTACCTTTCCTCTCATCTGTGATTTTCATGGATGAAGCAGTATGTGCAAGTTATATTAAGAGACCTGGGAAATCTCCAGACTACTGACTACCAATTCGTCTTATCTGCAAAAGCCAGCATGGACACGCTGTCCTCATCATTTCCTGAATTTAAAAGAAAAGACAGGGCATGCCCTAAACAGAGCCCATATGAAGCGTGCCCTCAGCACACACCTCATTGTACACTGACACATTTACAGTTCGTTAGGAGGAAACAAAGTTGGTTACACAGCATGTCCAGTGCACTAATAGCCTTCCCAAGCCTCTCTAGGGTTCAGAGGGAAGGATTTTTACACTCTTTACAGCTGGTTAATTAGAGGTGGGAAGCAACACATGGAAGAACAGAGGGTGTTAACACAGTTGAAATAGATACTGTCTGGAAAAGTGTTCATTTTAGCTTGATGTGTGGGTTTATACTTTTGCTTTTGTTGGGTGAGAAGGGTTGAAATTGAGGTCTGAATGTTATAAAATAAATATTCATGGATATTAGTCACCTGGCAGCTTCTTTAAAAATGCTGTATCATAGACCTGCACAGAGTAAATTAGCCGTTATCACACATTTTTTTGCCCCTTTAAGGCTGAGGAAAAATAGGAGTTTTGTGAGTAGGTTTTCTGCAGTTTGGAGGGCATGCTCTTAAGACAGAAAATGATTAATGGTACAGAATTTATATGACCAGCATCAAAAAAGCAAATTTGTGCAGCATAAAAATGTAACAAAGGATAAACTCTAGTAGAATTCTTTCAATAATGAGGTTTACTGCCTTCATTTTTGCACTGATCACCTTTTTGAGGTGGCTAAGTACCAAACAGGAAAATTAAAACCAGGCAGGAAGCAAGCAAGTGCAGAGACTTGTACACCTACTATTGTCAGTATCAGTGGGTTCATAGGTAACGCAGCCAGATGGAAGTGTTTGCCACAAAACCAATTGCGACCTGCCACTGGTAGCAATTTTTATTTTTATAGCAACACATGGTCTTTTTGGCAGTCTTGAGCAAAAGTAAAACCCCAACAATTAACACATGTGCTCCCAGGGTGCATTTTAACTAGAAAATGATTGGATGCTTTAAGTAATCCAGGCAGTCTACAAACTTGAAACCTTTTGGTGGTCGTAGTGATGAGTTACTAATTGATGCCAGAATAGTTAAGCACAAAAGGCTGAAGAGTAAAACACCTCCTCTCTTTCCTTGATCATCACATTCCAATTTTATTTTCTGAGGAGAAGTGGGTAGATTAGGTACCAGGTGCCGGAATTTAGCTTCTTATCTAGTTGAAGTATAAAGAAGAAGTGTTTGTCCTCGCAAGGCTCAAATCACATTTTATCTAGCCAGCCATTATGTACTTATTCTAAGAATTTTCAGGTAATACAAGAAGGTTTCAGGTCTTTTTTTTTTTTATTATTTATTTTAAGAGTGTCATGCTTCAGTTTAGAAAGAGTATCTCCGGGCTTGTCCACGGCAATATCTATCTGAGTGTGAACTACCACCATTCTGCAGTTTCCAGCCTGAGCAGAGACAGTTCTGCCAAAATACATAATGTTTTTTGATGTGGAACAAATATCTATGAGGGCTTGGCATTTGCCTAATTTACTTCTAGTTATTATTTAATAATAGAATATTATTTAATAACAGAATTTATGTCCCAGCTATTGTTACCAAGGCAGGTGTTCAATATGGACAGCTCTTTTCATGGGGCAAAGGAATAGCATACAGTAATCAGGCAATGGCTTGGGGTTCAAACACACAGTCGTTCTGTTGTAGGGTAAGAATGTACCATACAGCAAGTATATACTGTCTCTGGATCTGCTGCTGGCCACAGAAATATGAGGTAATACAATGTAGTTATACTTTCTTCATTGCATCTAATTCTAGCAACTCTACACCTTATCCAGCATGATTGCAACACGCTCTACCACAAATCCACCTGTCTGCTGAAATTACTCTGTATTAAATTAAGTGCAGAGCAGAGAGGAACAATCCCCTCCCTCACTGGCTGGTGATGCTTTGCCTGAAGCCTGGGCATTTGTAATTTTGTATTCAAAAGAAAAGGAAAGTTAACACTCTTTTCTAACCCATTCTAGCTTCTCTTTAGGCTTCCAAAGCACCAGAGTATTTCATGTCATTTTTCCTTCCTTTCTCCATAAGTCTATCCTGCTGACACTATAAAATTCAAATTTTCCTAAAATAATATAAAGCTCTTAAATGATTTCTCTCCAGTCCAAATCATAGAATGGTTTGAGTTGGAAGGGGCCTTAAAGATCATGTAATTTCAACTACTCTGCCATGGACAGGGTCACTTCCCACGAGACCTGGTTGCTCCGTCCAAGCTGGCCTTAAACACTTCTAGGGATGGGTCATCCACAACTTCTCCAGGTAATCTGCTCCAGTGTCTCACCACCCTCACAGTAAAGAATTTTTCCCCAGTATCTAAACCTACTCTCAGTTTAAAATCATTCACCCTTGTCCTGTCACTATGTGCTCCCGTAAAAAGTCTCTGTCTTTCTAGTAGACTCCCTTCTGGTACTGGAAAGCTACAATTAGGTCACCCTTCTCTTTTCCAGTTTGTACAAACCCAGTTCCCTCAACCTTTCTTCACAGGAGAGGTGTTCCATCCCTCTAATTAGCTGGTGGCTCTTCTCTGTACTTGCTCCAACAGGTCAACGTCCTTCTAGTAGTGAGGACCTCAGAGCTGGATGCAGTGCTCCAGATGGGATCTCACCAGAGCAGAGTAGAGTGGCAGAGTCACCTCCCTCGATCTGCTGCCCACGATGCTTTTGACGCAGCCCAGGACACAGCTGGCTCTGGCTGCAGGTGCGTGTTGCCGGCTCACGTCCAGCCTCTCATCCACCACCACCCCCAAGTCCCTCAAATGATAGACATGTGGCAGTATGTGCTGTGGGTTTTGGATTAAGTGCCTCCCCTGACATCCTTTGTAATGTCCAAAAGAGCAGCTAAATATTCCTAAAGAGCAACAAATGAAAAGTGCAACCATGTGTGGTATATCAAAGTGAACTTTTGTTTTGTAAATCACAGTCAAAAGAACCAGAGGTTTTGCTAAGAGAGCAAAAAAATAGGCAATAAAAAAAAAAAGCTGACGTCTTTAAGATATCCTTCTGAGACGTGAAGTTGCAGAGAATTTCCACAATGTCATCTTTGATGACATCATTACCTCTTGTAATTTTTTTTTAAACTAGGTTAAAAGCCCATTAATAAAGTCACTGACAGAAGGAGAATAAGGAAATACCTTGTAAGTTACTTTCAAGTTCCTTAAAAACATTTGCCTTTAGAAAGGAAATTAACTTGCTTTCTCCCACTCTCACCCTTGAGGCCCTTCTGAACATTCCAGGCACTAACAGAAAAAAGCAGGCTCATGTTGCAACAGCTTGGGAGATTTATGTGCAGATGAGGTGATTCAGACTTGCTGTCCAACAGAGAATACATGAACACTCTGCTTGTTTGCAGGATAGTGTTTCATCTTTGGTCTTAAAAAACAAACAGACTCCAAAAGGAAACACTGCATGTTCAGTACAGCTCAGTAGGACTTCAGTCAACATTAGTCCTTCTGTGAACACTGGCACATTTTGCATTATGACTGCGTTTTTGGCCCATCCATAACATAAAATAATTGACGACAAAGGAAAACAACTTTGTCAAGTTTACACTGCAATTAATGTTCAACTATTGAGGATATCAGACTGGGACACCCTTAATGATGGTAAAACACTGCTGTGTTGGGAGCACGAGACAGCAGGGTCCAAATTCTGCTTTATTATTGCTAAAAGTTTGATTTTCATTTACCTTGTTGTTGCGTTCAACCCCAGTGTAATCTGCTTCAGGTGGAATCTTTATATGTAACTCAGCTTCATAGGCTCCTTCCCCATCGTTCCTTGGATTTATTATGAGCATGACACAGTTTTCTTCTCCAATTATTAGCTGATCTGTATCTCTGCATAGAAAATACTACTTGTCAGGAGTTAGAACATGCACAATTTTTATTTTCATATGAATAAAGCAGAAGGATATTTTGCTCTCTTAACATCTGTCCTGGAAAATATTCTGTGAAACATAATAAAACGTTTTCCATAAGAAAAGACCCCATGGAAAAGTATGCCAAGCACGTGTGTAGAAAAGAGGTAAAGAGAAAGCAGCACCATGGACAATCAAAGTGGATTACCACACAACTTCTGAGTTACTGGTAGAAAATTTCAGAGTCTGACTACTTTCTAACCAGTAAGAAGTACTTAGTGGAGGAACTACTTGTCACAGGGGTGCCATCAGCACTGTTTTGGGCGGGCACAAAGGTAGTAGTTTTTCCCTCATGTCCACTGTAAAATGAACAATGACAAAAATTCTCCTGAGACCTGCAACAGTGCTGTGCCCTTTCCTTTCACAGGAATGATGGACTGATTTTGATGGCACAGAGTCAGATGACTGTCAGAGGTTCCCACTTTTCCTGCTTAGCCTACTTCTCCCCTCATATGAGAAACTGTTGCCAAGTTTTGAAATTTTCTTATTCTGAAGTTCATTTACTTCACTTTATACTCTCACTGTATACTGAGTTGAGGAGGGTTGTGCTCCAAGTTCAAAGTAACTGGCACACTGGAATAAAAAAATTCAAAACCTCCTATGAACAACAATTTGCATTATCTCTTGGCATTCAGAGAACTAGAATCACCTCTAATGAACACCTGCAAAGTCTGTTTTCTGTGACAACCATTAAACATAAATGTGATTTGTGAGTGTATTTTTCTCCGTTTCTTGGTTTTCTAGATGAAATGGATGCACAAATTAAAATCTGGAAAGTGATTAGCCCTAGTAAACAACAGAACTGTGTCCTACATACTTCATTCTGTTACAGCAGTTAGCAGTGTTTGGACTTCCTTATACACAGTATCATGTATTTTATTTAACTTACGGCATAGCAGAAAGATGCAAGTCAGGAATGCACAAGTTGTCCTCTCCACAGTCGACGAGAATGTAAGCCTGTATTATTGCAAAGTAAGAAAAAGGCAATACAGCCAGTACATGCCTCAAAGTCCAAATCACGTCCTTAAAAGTCATTAACCTAAGTGTCTTAAATATCACTAGCAACAACTTAGTGAGTTAATTCTCTGTCTCCTTTCTGTAAGTTCCTTTCCACATGGTAGTTGGAGACTAGACTGTCAGCTACATCCTTAGCAGTACAGTATCATCTTTCAGGCCCTTTCCCACACTGACTTGGCTTACATATTCCAGAATGAAATCAAAACTAGGAGCACAACCAAGTTTTGGAAATACTTCAAGGGTCTGTTGATTCTACATTTATATTCAATTTACTTTTTGAATTAATTAAATCCCTTTTTTTGTCATTTCTGGCCATGATACTCTGTTTTAAGGAAAATGATACATAGTATTTGTAAATGCATTCATGTTTACATACAGAAAATGTGGCATGCAAAATTCGTACCTGCTCTGTTAATGAGCTTTTCTGGTAATAGTTCAGTATTGGCTTCACAGTCAAACTATCTTCAAAACTGGATTCATCCAAACTATAATTGAAGTTTATATTAATGGGAGATAATTTATCTCTAAATTCTGTTTCATCCTGTGAGTGACAATCACATAATAAAAAACAATGGTTTAATACAATTATTTCACATTAGTATAGTATGTCAACAGTTTCAGACTTTAGTCTTTATTGAATGTAAGGACATGGTTCTTTGATAGCTGCTGGCCAAATTCTGGCTGCATGTAGTGTTATTAGGAAAGCAAAGTGACTCAGCAGTGACGGGAATGCCCAGAACACATTGCCTTCACAGCCCCTTCTGGAAGAAGCTGGCTTAGCCTATTGGACTCAGAAATTTTTCAAACCCATTAGCCTAAAATGAGGCTGATTAAAAGAGACACGCACAACTAAATCCCATCAGTTCCTGCCCACCTTCCTTTTGACATGGAAGTAGGACATGTGTGGATTTGTAGATGTAATACTGGTGGTTTGTACCATAACCAAAAATTTATATGTATTAGCAATGGTAAAACTCACCAACTTTATTGTCTAGGTACTTCCTTACAGAGTGCTTGAAATGTCTTTATTTCAACTCCCACTGCATTTCTTGGACCAGACTTGGAATCTACTTGAATTGCATGAGGTAATTCCAGCTGCAACTGAGTAACTATTGACCCTTTCTTCTTTACAACTTAAGATCCACAGTTTTATTTTTTCCAAAAACATTTTTAAATACCTTTAAAATATTTTTTAAATATATGAATTTTAGGCCAATATTTCTAGTGAGGCTCCTTTAAAATATCTGTTGCAACTGAATTGGCATGACATCTAACATGACTAGTTGATTAACCCACTGTGAATACTAAAAAATAAAGGGATAGTAAAAATGGAAAGCAAACTTGCATTTTTGTATCAGGAGATGCAGTATTTGATCAAAATTTTCAGAAGAGCATGAAATTAATGTATTTTTACACAGAAGAACTGTACACTCTTCAAAAGAAGTCTTCATTTTATACTTATATTGACAAAAGATGAGCCAAAGATTTATGGAGGGAATTTTTTTCAAGGTAGCAGTGTGTTCTGGACATTCTGGACATAGACATAAGGCCTATCTTATCTCATATTTCTGTTATTTTGGAAATTGTTCTTCCTTTTCTAGTGGCTACTTTTTTTCTACTATCTTTAAATCCCTCATATTACTCAAATGATGATGACAGTCCAAAATATTTTAAACAACTTACTCTGAGATAAACAAGGAAGTCCTGGCAGTGGAGCTGTTTCTGTCTTTCTATCACAATGGAGAAGTAATGATGTGACTGATGGTAATCAAAGAAAAGGGTCCTCTTAACAGCTCCTTTCTGTTTCAATGAATCCAATTGCAATTCGCCTTTCAGCACTAAAGGATACAAATAAATCAAATATATATTGATTTAATATAGAAAGAAAAAATACTAATCAATTAATTATTATTGTATTATAATATTATAGTATTATAAGATAGTACTATAATTGATTATTCTAACAAAGTCTTACAAGGAAAACTAATCCATGCTTTAAGTGTCTGTTTGGTAGCCCACCAGTTTTTGATGCAAAGTATGGAAGATGTGTAATTTAAGCTTTCTGATTTCACTGACAGATGATATGTGTACAGGACTTCTGTTGCTTAAATTTTATTTTATTTTATTTTTTTTTCAAAACAGAACGTTCTCCAACAAGGTATATTCTTGGTTTTATCTGGAAAATGGCTTAATCTGAATCAAAAATCCTTTAACTCAGTAACAGAAGCTTTGGGTCATGTATATACATATACTTTTTTTTAGCTGCATTTTCTTGCCTTGGGAGGATCTTACTCCTATAATCTTTCAAAGTGCAAGAAAAGAATACATCTGAAATGGAGCAGGACACAGTAAATTATACGAATAGAAAACATTTCTTACCTATCTCATCTGAAATACTTTGACCTTCAAAGTCTGCGCAGACTCTTACAGTAAAGCTACATATAAAAGAGTAGAAGTAATTATTAGCAGGAAGAGAACTCACCTGGGAATCAGCAGTTCCCAAGTTGTATCTTTAAGTTTTATTTTAATTTTCTTAAAAAGATGTAATTGAGATTTGTATTTAGCTACCTATTATATTAATTAAGTTAACAAGTCTCCTAGGCTTTAGTAATCACAGAAGAGTTTCTGAATATCTTCCTGGCAAAAGTATGGAGAAGAGCCTCTGTTACCAGTATTTCTTGAGACGTCCTACAGAGATTACCCTTCTAACACTATTGCCAAAGTTGAGTTCCTTATGCTGACCTTCAGCAAATCACCTTTGTAAGAGGCTGTCTGCAGAAGTCCTTCTGGTTCATCATGGTCAAATCACAAAAATCTTTGAGCATGTAGTCAACACTCAAGCTGTTTTCTAGCAAATCAAAAATACACAGGATACCAGTGTGTTCCACTGGCATTATTATAAGGCTGTTCCTATTTCAAGAGGTTAAATAAAAAAATATTTGCTTTAGCCATTGCTCTTCATCTCCTCACTACTGTTATGCAATATACTAATGTCCCCATGCAGTGGATGCAAAACCAGTACCATAACCTTTAAAACAACCTGTAATCACATTATAATTGCATGCTTGTTTCCTCTGACAAATGTAATGGAACTGTGCCACATCTGGGATACATGTCACTCTCATGAGCTTAATAAACACTTTTTTATCATGAGGGAAAAAAAAAGGCATTTATTCTTGAGGAAAAAAACGGCACTATGCCATTAAACTCTACTAAACTGTAGCTTTCAAAAGACAATCCAGTCCATGCAGAAATTGCAAATTCAGTCATATTTCTATTTCTTTACAGAAGTATGAGTTAAGACATAAAGAACCAGTTATTTCCTAATACATAAGGACAAACCAACAAAAATGATGGAAGCCTGTGTAATTGCACAAATAAAATTTAGAAATCAGGCTTTACAGGCCAGTCTTGTATATCAGAGCACAAGTGTCTTTTCTCAAGCGCAGACTCAAGAAAAATATACTCAACAATCTTGATTTGGAGAAGTCAAATATTTTTTGCACTACTGTGTTTGAAAAAATGTTGGGTTAAAACATCCAACTTGGAATGTTTTATTGGTTCAACAGAACAATTTCAGTGTACATTTTATTTACTACAATGAACAGAACAGTTCATCATACATACTTGATAACTGAAGTCATGTTCTTAAATATAATTGTAAGAGTCAAGATTTACTCATTCCACTCCAGGCAGAGCATGTTAAAAGAGAATGAGCAAAAGAATAAAAATGTGAAGTGAATAATCTCCCAGATTATGGCCACACAAGAGGCAAGGCTATGGCTTTAGCAGAATTCTGCCACACATTTGTGATTTTATTATTTAGTTCAGAAATAGTTCTAAAGACATCAAAGATCAATCACAAACCCAGATGAATTTAGATATGCTCATCGCTTCAACAGGAAGATACTGTGGAGAGGCTGAAGGATGCTTCAGCTTCAAGAAAAAGAAAAGCAGAGGGAAAGACCACAAAAGAGGACAGAAGTCTAAAGGATTTATGGACATTCAAGATCTGAGTCCTAGACACAGTAAGAAATAAAATAGCTGAGCTTTTGAGCTTGCTCATAGGAACAATCAACCAAACAACACAATTAACAATCAAAGGAAGAAAATTTCAGCAGATAAGAAACAGCTGGGAAATAGTCCATCATCCTAAGGCATGTGAGTTTTTTATGTGCTATCAATCTTGTCTCTCCAAACAGATCCCTACATCACATTTATTCTCTGCTCTGTCATCAATATAAGCTCCTGGTTTGAATAGTATTTGACTGTAGTTACAAAAGCAAGGAATTACCAAATCATTTGCCATTGTTGAAAATTTCTTTAGCACACAGGTTTGTAGATGGAGAAAAAGAATGGATAACACTTTAGCAGAAAGGCCATTTAAGCTTTAATGCTACGGACTTCCATTCTGTTTGAGGCTGATACCTGTCCTGCAAGGTCACAGACCTCTACAGAACAAGAGCAGAGACTGTTATTGTCTACTGATAAACAACCTTTAAACAAACTGTTTCCTCTTCGAGGTATAATATGTAAAAGCAAGTCAATATAATTCTATTATGATGCTCTAATACTTGCCCTGCTTTTAGATTTTGCTATGCCAAAGTCTAAGACAGTGACCAACATGGAGCTTTAACGCTGAAGGCATCCCATGGCTAAGCTACAATTTAGGCACAAAGTAGCAATAAGGTAGTCATGGGATAATCAGACCCCAAATAGTAATAAAAATACCAATCCATGGGTAAACTAGACATCTTGATAGCTACAATCCAGTCTTGGACTTAATAAATCACATGATGTGGAAACAGCTTTTGAAAAACTAAAATGTTTGATTTATTTACACCTTTTTACAGATATAACTTCTACCTCTCACACTTAGAAGAAAAGAGTCCTTTTCCCATATTCTTTAATAGCTTCAAAGTCGCAGAATTTGTTCCAGATTTGCTAGTTTTGGGAACTCAGAAATAGCCACATTTTACACAGAGCAGAGAATGAATTATATGCTTCTACAAGTTCAGGAAATTCCCTTAAGGCTGTGTATAAAAATGACTTTTTGTGCATGTTTCCTCTGTGCTTCACCTTCCCAATCATGGCAAAAATAATATTTTCCTAATACTTGGAAACATACAATAATCCACCTTATTCACACACACACATACACTTCCTGAAACTTTTCTGGTAGGAGGTTTCCTTTCATTCTAATTTTGCAGTGTCAGTCAGTAGACTTTTTATACAAGTTGCACAGCTGACTAAGAGATACACAAATTCATCCCATGGGACTGAGGAATTCTTTACTTGTTGGAGTTTCCCTACTAATTGTTTTAATATGTACAATACAAGCTTATATCAACTAAGAAGAAAAATTACAGTGTGGAAAATAGCAGCTGCTCTTCAGTCATTTTGTAATACAAACTAAATCTTTAGGGAACAGTATTTCAGAATAAAGCAGACAGAAATTAAATTATGCTCCTACTAAAGCTCTTGTAGATATGAACCAAACATCTTCTGGCTTACTGTAGAGGAGAAATGAAAAGTAATGAAAAAAATATGCTAAAGGAGTATTCGTTTTTTACTCCCTTTTTTAAACAATACCTCACAGCAGGAGTATTTTTATTTAACAGAGATGGTTTTATTTATTTCTCTTGTGCAAAAACCCACCTTTTTTCTTTCAATATTATCTTGGTAACTGTTATGGTTCCAAAATCTTTTTCATTATGACATTTAGCATTTTTTAAAAGTCTTAAAACCTGAAGTTGTGAGAAAAACCTAATTTCGATCAATGAACGTGCTTCAGCCAAGTGTTGATATTTTAAATTCTTTATTACATTAACTATAAAAACAAAAGTACTTAAAAAGTCAGGGTTGATCTTGATCTCTCCTATTCCATATCTTGTCTTTGATCCTGATCCTATTCCAAAAAGGCCAAAGCTTTGTAAAATCCTGGGACTATGTAGTTCTACTGAGTGCCTTCTACATTGCTCTGTAGATGGGCAATTTTCTACACTGGGTGTAGAAATGAAGAACATTATGACAAATACAAGAAGTCCCATAAAGTGTAAAAGAAAAGGGCAAGAGTGAAAATCTCTTGACAGCCTCATTCCAGATGCACTGAAAGCCCACATTTTTATGGTTTAAGTGTACCAGAGTTTAGTTCCTTTATGGCTTTTAAATGAACTGCTTCTGGTAATGATTACTTTTTACGGTTCCTATTTATCAATGTATTCTAAAGGTTCTTGCTTACTTTTACATTTGAGATGATTTTCAGAACTCATCTCCTAAAAAGAACATCTCCAATGTAAGGAATCCCTCTGACCATTTCTGGTTTAAAAGCAGTGAAAAATTTTTGCAGTCATGGATCTTCTGGAGTCCTCCTTTACACCTTAATATTGTTTTCATCCAGCCCACATCCTGGCAGACTTTCTGTTTCTAATGTTTCTATGTCTGAAACATCTGTTCCTCACAGTCTCTTTGGCCAGACCTACTACTATTTTGTATTCCATGTGCACATGTTTATGCTCTGTTTTGATTTCAGTTTCCTCATTTGTTATGATTTCCACTTTTAAACAGTATCTTTTTTTGTATTTGTATTTGTAATAGCCTCTTCTATCAACTGTTCTGAGGTCCTTTCTAAGCGACCTTTTTCTAGTGCAGTAAATGTGCCTTTATGTGGTATTACGTGCTTTAGATAGCCTCCAACTGTCCTGCAAGCATTTTATATTTGTAACTGATCTTAAATTGTTTTAATTAGCTTCAAGTTTCTTAATGTTCTTTTTCTTCTTAAAGTTAAATGCTATTGTGGTGAAGAGTTTCTCTTTTAAAGATAGATGAAACATTGTCCTGTGTGGTGCACTAAAAAGAAGCTTTCCTCTGACCACAGACGACCAGAAACAACATCCTGTGAACTTGTCTCAGGATGGTCAGCCAGATGTATTCTCTCTTCCACAAAGGACCAAGATCTGTCTTTCTCCAACAGAGAATCGTGGGCTCACAAGGTCTGTATCATTTTCATTGTTACATTTTCTCAGCAAAGGTGTGTTTGACAGATCCATGTTTATGTGTTTTATGTGTTTCATCTGTTTTAACTGTTTTATCTTTCATTCATCCAAACATTGCATACAATTTTGCAGCTTGACTGTAGGAGACACTGAGCATCCTTCTAAGCAGAAGGAGACTCAGTATATCAGAGGACTCAACTTTTAGCTATGACATAGTTTGACAATCATCTGTGAAGTATTGGAAGATATAAAAAAGAACACTACATAGGAGGTTTTTTATTTTCCTCAGAGCATGTCTGAATATTTTGAACTTCGAATATGTTCAGAAAAAACTGCAATAAAAGTTAGGAATAAGAAGTTGAGAAAGAGGATAAGGATGGATTTTGAGTAATCATGAACTTACCAGGCCACTAATAGCTCAGAGTCAGGGAGCTGGCAAGTTTTGTTGTCTGGATTCACAATCATGGGGTTCAGAATAAGATGAGCATTCACTGTAACAACAGGTCTGGCTCTGGGGGACAAAAATAAGGTTCACTGCACACAGAAAGAGCACATGAGTACCTAAGTTGAACCAGAGAAAACACTTAACTGAGATGGCCACAAAGAAAGCCAGAGATGCAGGGTTACTTGGGAGAACACACTATTATAATGCTGTTCCTACTTAAAAGAATTTTTTTTTTTTTTTTTGGCTCAGAAGCTGTGATACGCCCTACTGAGATTTTGACAGTTCTTCATGAAAAAAACATCACAGGTTAACATATCACTGAAACAGTATCCTGTAGTTAACCAATAGATGTGTCCCAGGACAAAAGCACATCAGACACATTTCATCACACTGGGTTTTCACACAGGGACAGAGCCTGCCTCTTTGGGATTTACAGCAGTTCTCTGGACATTTGTTTTGTACTATCTCCATTAACAGTGACATATTCAGACTTGCTAGCTCTGTTTAAGATTCTTAAAAAAACCCCAAACATAATTTGGTTAAAGTAGAAGTTGATGCAGAGTACCCTGAGTAAAAAATGAGGTAAATTCTGTCTGATATTTCTTGAGAAAATGGACTTTGTAAATCAGAAATAATCATCATTAAAGTCTGCTGAGTACATGGATATCTAGTTGAGGTAATGGGAACCATCTCTCAGAAGCTGCTATTAAGTAATGAGATAATCTATAACTGCGAGTAATTTAGAAGACAAATGAAAACAAGTAAGGGCCCAGATTTCTGGTTTTTTTAAGACAGAATTACTGTTTTACAGTAACTTACATAATTCTGGCTAACTCAGCTTACTGCAAAATTACTTTCTTCATATTTTAATACACATTTGAGCTTTTATGATTACTCCACTGTATTACTTCAGCAAGACATTAAAAAATAAAATTATTCTCTTTGCAACAGGGAAAACCTTTTTTTCTAGCAAATTTCAGTTAACAATATTCTATTTCACCAAAATGACAGATTGCATATTTGATACACTCTGGCCAGGAAATGGCCACTTGCTATTCACTTTCTTTTTATTGTTACTGAAAATGCACAGTGGATCTAATTCTCCAATGTTTCACTTCCTGTGCAGTCATTCATGGTGCTGCAAAATGATGCATTGCAAAGTATTTGCATGATTCTTTCACAGGGAAGTAGGAAAATTGGGTCTATTCACTGCACCTACAGTGTTAGTTGAAATGAGCTAACATTCCTATTTTACAAAATTCTTATGCTTTCACAAACATTTGGCTGAGAAGCAGAACATGCCTTCTCTCCATCAGGTGCTGTTGGGAATAGAGACAAGAAGACAGACAGGAATCAAGAAACGTGAATACTTGGTTGTAGCAATGGATGGTGAATATTTAAATGTGAAGAACTGTCAGCCTCACAGGACTAAGAGAGCAGTAATAGATTTTTGTTTATGTACTTGGTTTAGTTTTAAATTATAACTCTAATTAAAAAGTGCATTTAGTGGAATTCCATAGTCAGCAAGACCTTTTGGTTTTGTAAAATGGGATCTCGTGCATTTTTTTTAAACTGAGGCTAAAACTAGCGGTCTTTATTTTCAATAAATAGTTCATCTTAACATACACGACCTCTGAAGAATCAGTCACTTTAAAATTTCTTACTAGCACCATTCCCTCAGAAAAGAAATTATTTTTCAATTCTATGCCTTTTAATTTTTTATTTAAAATTAACTGAAGAGTCAAACATTCCAGAAGCTTCTTAAGCTACAACTAAACATGGAAATATTCACTGAAAACTACAAGTTTTGAGTATGGGAAAAAAGCATTTGTTTCTCACAAGATGTTTAATTTATCATCTCTAATTATCTGCTATTACACCTTGCAACAGGGAAACAGAGGAATGTGAAGTTTGTTTATTTGAAAATCTCTCACCAAAGCTGTAAAACATGAAATCCATTGTATTTACCACATACCTGTAAACAACGGCCTTCCCAGCTCCAAATGCACCCACAATTAGATCTGGAAAAAAACAATGGCTTCAGAAGAGATATATAGAAATCTCTCACACATTTTTCCCGCCTAAATTAGATTATTTACATTAAAAATGCAATAACATCAAACAAGTATGATATTCCTTTCTAAGCAATTTTTATCTAAAGTGTACCTGAAAGAAAACATTTCACATTATCAGAGATCGCCTCAGAAATGTGTCGGTTGTATCCAGTAAGTGCCAATCTATTTAACGCAAGGTCACCCACTCCACAGTCTCACTTCTCCCCAACTTGTATCTCAAAGAGATGAAAACCAATCTCTTGTCATTTCCAAACAAGTCATGTTGAAAATGTATGGTGTTCCTTCCTGACAATCTTTCCCATCCTGCTTCGTGTTTTAAGTAATTTGTTCATTAATTTAAGCATTACATCTTTGCACATAAAGACAATACAAGGTCAGAGGATGGCTGTTATCAGAGTTCTAACATTTCCAGTATTGCAGCAGCGTGTACCAAGGCTTACAACAGTTATCCATCTAAAGCCGTCTTTATCCCCAACAGCCGTCTTTATCCCCAACAAGAGATGGAGTCAACAGCACAAATGCTACACTGGGACTTGGACACTTCTTTGTTAGTGGTCACTGGCTTGGGTTTGGGCATCTACCAAATATTTCCTTTTTTGTCTCGAGCCCCCACACAGGGTTCCCCAGAAAGACCCAGACTGATTTGCTGGATCCATCCAAGGCTGATGGAGAAAAACTGGAGCCAAGCAGTGATGAAAAAAGATCAACTGTCCTGCTGCCTCTGACTTTGGAAAGAGCTTTGTTTCATTTTCAAAGACCCCAAATGTCCATCTGGTCACCCCTTTCATTCCACTATTGCTACTATACGATTTCAATTCAGCAGACTGAGCCTTACAACACACCTTGCAGTGGTACAGACTGGAAACCTAAATGGATTTAAATAAGTTAATTAAACCAGTACTTGGGGTTGTAAACAAACCCTTACTTGCTGCTTTTATAATTTTAGCACTAGTTTGCTTAAGAAGTCCAGAAGTAATCGAGCATGATGCAAATACAAAGCTTTGATGTTAATTAGCTGGATGGGTTTGATGAAGGGCTGGCAGTATGTTTTCTAGTGCTCCTTTGTCTTTCAGATGGCCAGGATTTCACAAGTTTAAACAAGTACTTCACATGGGCAACAGCCAGTCCTACATTGAATTCCACGGAATAACATACTAATAGGAGAAGGCACAGACAGTTTAGAGGTCTGATCCTCTTTTTGCACAACATTTACATTTTTCTAGTTTCACTGGCCCTAGAGAAATATGCTTCAGGGTCAGGAACACTTTAAATAGCAGAAGAAAATGAGTGTTGTTTTTAACTCCTTTTTGGGACATTTATGTGTCCTTTTCATGAGTAGCTTTTTTAGACAACTTGCACACTGTACCAAAATCTAAAGATGTTTAAATAAACAACTAATTGAGAAAAAGCCATCATCATAAAGGCTATACCATACATGAGGCAGAACTTTTCCTGGAAGTTCATTGATAGCAGCACCCACAGTAACCCTCCAAATGAGATTTAATATTTTGTTGATTTTTTTGTGTGTTTGAGGTTTTCTGTGGGTTTTGTATTAGGTTTTTTTTTTTTTTTTTTAAGGAAAAAGAAACATTATGTTATTCACAGAAAGTGGAAGACAAGAAGGAAGGTGTTTCTGTTCTGCTGTTCCCAGGGGATACTCTTTGTGAATTCTGCAATAGACTTGACATACAGTGTGTACTGTTTTATACTAGACTTGATAACTCAAAAGGTTTCAGGGCTATGTTATAACAGAGACAAAACAGGTAGACATCCAAGACTTATCCAGACTCTGACTTTGGGATGATTTCATAATCTGATCTTTCATTAAGGTTGGAAGGGACCCACCAGGATCATTGAAGTCCAACTCCTGGCCCTGCATAGGACACCCCAAGAATCACACCATGTGCCTGAGAGCACTGTCTGAACGCTTCTTGAACTCAGAAAGCCTTGGTGCTGTGACCACTTCCCTGGGGAGCCTGTTCCAGTGCCCAACCACCCTCTGGATGAAAAAACTTTTCCTGATATCTAACAGAAGCCTCTTCCAACTCAGGTTTATGACGTTTCTTCAAGTCTTGTCACCGGTCACCACAGAGAAGAGATCAGTGCCTGTTCCTCCTCTTCTCCTCACAAGGAAGTTGTAACTGCAATGAGGTCTTCCCTCAGTTTCCTCTTCTCCAGGCTTGAACAGACCAAGTGACCTCAGCCACTCCTCACACGGCTTCCCCTCAAGTCCCTTCACCATCTTCAGTGCCCTCCTTTGGACACTCTCTAACAGCTTAATACCTTTCTTATATTGCAGTGCCCAAAACTGAACACAATATTTGAGGTGAGACGGCCCCAGTGCAGAGCAGAGTGGGACAATCTCCTCCGTCGACCTGCTGGAGATGCTTTGCCTGATTCCCCCCTGGACACAGTTGGCCCTCCTGGCTGCCAGGGCTCTCAGCTCCCTTTCCACAGCACTGCTCTCCAACCCCTTGTTCCCCAGTGTATAAAAAGAATCAGGATTGCCCTGTCCCAGGTGCAGAATCCAGTACTTGCCCTTGTCAAACTTCATATAGTTGGTGATTGTCTAACTTTCTGATGCATTAAGGTCTCTCTGCAGGGCCTCCCTGCCTCCGACGGAGTCAGTAGCTCCTCCCAGTTTAGTTAACTGGCAAACTTCTTTCTGTTTTTCCATGTTTTTCTGCACTG